CTCTTACCTATTTGCAGGGGGCCTCCTTCTTGCCCCACAGAGTGCTCAGCTCTTGCCCCAGACATGAACTGGTTTCTCAGTTCCAGAGTTAAACATGTCAGCCAGTTTGGCTACTGACTCATGAACTATGGATCGTTAGCTCCATTATACAGACGAGGCTATTTGCTTTCATGTGGATTGCTTTGATTATGATATTATTGCCCTGGAGAGCCCAATTTAGGACAGTCCCAGACCCTAACTTTTGGGGAGGAAGGAAAGAAACAAACAACAGGAAGAAAATACCCCCCTTTTCACCCATAGGAATGTAAAAGTTTACTAGGAGAAGAATGTAGTAAAATCATGTCTTTGAAATAGTAATCTCTTTCCCCATTTCCTGTCTTTCTATTCAAGATACTAGTTAACTGTGTTCATCATTCCAGGGAAGGGCACACATCTTGTGAGTCTTTGATCTTGGCTTTGTTTTCCAAAAGACTTGCAGGAAAGAATTAGAGGAGAGCCAAAGGGTTTGGAAAACACATGAACTGAGAAGCCTCCCTCTTCCTAAATTAGTAAAATACTCTTCCAGGCTTGTGAAGGGAAGGAGCAATGCAGGGGATGAGAACAGAATTCTGTGGGTCTGAGATGGAGAAAGGCTCCGTACCTTTCTTCTCTGAAATAGTCCAGGAAGTGATTTGAGGTCTGTGGTACCCTCAAGAGCAGAGAAGTGACCCCGTGTTGTAGACAGAACCTAGGAAAGGTGACAAGACCTCAGAGAGGGTGTTTATGCAGAGATGTCCAAAGACAGTCTGTAAGAGATGGCTGAAAAGCAGCACAAAGATTCCTAAGCCTTTATGCATAGGGAAGAAGGGGCCGAGAGAGCTACCAGTCCTGGAGGAGCTGCAGAAGGAGGACCAGAGGGCATCACAGTGATGGCTGGTGTGGATAGATGAAAAGTCCAGGCAGCACGCCCACCGCTGGGGTTTGACCTGCGTAAGTTCTCATCAAATCTGAGACACAAACTGAAGAAAGGAGAGGAAACACATAAAGTTTCTGCTAGACTAGCAGAATAGAAGCTTGAAATCCAGTTTAGGCTGAGTTATAAAACAGGAAAGTTAAATTTATTTCACATCTGGATTTGAGGCCTCCGATTCACAATAGCTGAACAGCCACTTATGCTGCTGGGCAGCTTCATGCATTTGTGTCTTGAGTCTCCACCCAGGTGCACATATCGAGACCGAAAGCTGTCTTATGCATCCTTATATTTCCTTCAGAATGTAATGGTTTTTCAGTCATTTAACATACTTGTAAAGCATGCATGGGTTTCCAGGACTGTTTAGTTCCTGAGGGTACATCTTCGAGCAAAACTGGGGATGTTCCTGGTTTCATGGAGTTCACAGTCTATTACAAGAGATGGACAGTATTCTGATGGCCCCCAGAAGACTAAGATCCACCTCATTTAGGGGCTCAAGGTCACAGAAGGTCTCCTGGTCAGGGCTCAGAACTAGACTGCTTTATCTCCTCTGTCCTAGGATGTTCTGCTTCTGATGACATGGAAACTAATGAAGCACACGAACATTAAAAACAGCCACTATGTGGTCTGTCAATATGTGACAGTGTTCCACGTATTACATAAAGGAATTGAACCAGGTATTAAATACCACATATTAAAATGTAGGAATATTTTTAAAGTAGAATATAAAACAGTTTGCACAACCTGAAAAAAAAGAGAGAGTTGGACAGTATTCAAATGAACAACTATATATTTTAGGTGGTGATAAGTGAAGGGAAAATTATAAATCAGGGCAAGAGGAGTATCTTGAGTATTCACTGGTTTTGAATACATGGTATTTACTCAGTGAAACTGTTAAACTGAATTGACTGGAACTCATGCTTTTTGGAGCACTGGCAATGATTTCATTTTCTCAAGAAAGCCAAAATAAGCAAATGAGAGGAGCAAATACTTACATAAGATTCACAAACAAAACAAACCAGCCAAAGACCTTATTAATAAAATTAAGGAAAGGGAAATAAAAATTTAAAAATCACACAGACAAGAACAAATACATTTTTATTAACTTAAATCCAAATACGCCTGATTCCAAAACTTGTGAAGTGTTACAACATCATGAAACAAAAAAGTAGACTTTGGGTCTGAATTCCTGTTTCAGTTAGATTCCTTCAAGCAAGTTCCGTAACCTTTCTTAGCTTTCCTGAGCTTCAGTCTTCTTATAACATAAAACGAGATTAGTAATTCCAAACTCACTGATTTGCCGTTGGGAAGATTCTATTTAATAAATTGTAATTTTAAATATTATGTAATTTTATGATAAAAATATTATGATAATGTAATCACCCAGCAAGTGATAATTATTTAAAAAAATATTAGCTCCCTTCCATGTGGTGCCTCCTCACAGACATGTACGTTGACACACAGAAGTGGGGAGGGAAATAATGTGTACTGGTAACGTATCACTGCTTTATGAGCAGGATGGAACACAAGGATATTTTGAAGCAACCAGAGGGTGCCTTCGGTGTTCTTTTCTTGGAACTTGCGCTTGACCTCCATTGCCTAGCATTTATCTAGGTGTTTTCCCTTCCTGGCAGGGGATTTGGTCAGTCTGTTACCCAGGTACCCGGTGCTCGGGGCTCCTGCCCCACATGCACACTTCCGAAACAAGCCTCTGCCCACCTGCTGGCCACTCTGGGTTTGCTGATGCCATGTTCTGTCACCCTTTCCAGCCTATACTTCTAGAGTGATGAAGAACTTCTGCAGCTCCCAGGAATCCCACAGTAACTCCCACTGGCATTTAGGAGTCAGGTGTCACATGCCCTGCTCTGTCTCCAGCTAGACTAACGTTCTTCCGTTATACTTGAGGTACCTGAGGCTCCCTCCATTATAATTTCTTGCTGCACTGTATTGCAATCATCTGTTTATAGATCTCTCTCTTCTCAGAGGCTGCAAGCTCTTTAAGTGCTGGATGTAAACTGGGAGTTCAGATATTTAATTCAGCATGTGAAGGGATAAGCCAACATCACTATATAATATGCACAGACCACTTTGGCTCCGTGCCTCGCCTGATGCTAGCGATTTTACATGTAGTAAAATGTGCATTTTAGTATTCTCTTTCTGAAGGTGAGGCTGTGAGTTTGGGTTAAATAATTCAAGGTGTGTGCATCTAAAAGAGAAGCGTGTCAGGCCAAACCAGACGGAGTGCCAGCAGAGAGAACCGTTTAATAGATGGGGGCTTTTAGCTTTCCCACATCGCTTTTAAACATAGCTGCAATTTTCTGCCTCTGTGTAAGGCAGGCTTTGGCTGTAGGATTCTGAATGTCACTGTCAAAAGACAAAGATGCAGAAGGGGAAAGGGTTTTGCCATGATTAAGCCATCTTTATTTACACCAGATTTATATCCATCTTCCAACCACCCACAGCTAACTTCTGTAGAGGGCATTAATTAGTCTTTTTTTTTTTTTTTACTTTTTTTTTTTTTTAGGGAACATCTGAAATATATTATTCCTCAAGCTGAAAATTCCCAGATGAATATCCTGAGAAACTAACTGAGTTTCTTCTCTAATAACATTCAAAACCATCAATTAATTCTTCTGTGAACAGATTCAAACCACAAAGGTTTTTAATGGCTTTGGAAGAAGCCAAAAGGGCTACACGCATAAATATTTTCTTCAACATAGACTGCATGTTGCTTGCACTGAGTTCTGCGGAGAGGGCCAGGGCTGGTGGGAATGCAGTCACTGGGGACTAGCCATCCTGATCCAGGCGTCTCCCTAGGGAGGGCTGTTTTTAAGGTGCCACAGGGATCAGTTAATGAGGCCAGCCTGAGGTCTTGGGTCATGTCTGAAAGAGGAAACAGCAAAATCTTCATGGGAAACTTGTGCGAAAATGAACACAGCCAGGATATACAAGTATTATCTAGCACCCTAGGGAGGTTGTAAGTATAGCCTAAGAGAGAAAATAGCAGGGGTTGGGGAGAAATAAAGCTGGATTAAGAGTTTAGTCCCAACACGGTTAGAAAACCCCAGGGTGTGTGTCACTGTCTCTCTTTGGGCCTCAGTTTCCTCACTGTAAATGTCACTTCCGGTTACATTCTGTGAGATCCCTTCTAGAGCCTAAGATCTATGCTGCTGCTTTCAAGTAAATCTCCTGGCTGGAAAGCAAAATAGATACAAAAGAGAATGTAGAATGGTATTACTTTTGAATGTGTGGAAAGCAATAACATTAGAATAGAAAGAGGGTAACTTTTTGCCAATAGATGGGAGGTTGGGAGTTTGAAGATTCCCCACCCCCACACTCACCAGTTCTAAACCTCAGAGAGGACAAAACTGGTGCTCTTAGATTCCCCAGGGGGAATTCTAGATCTAAATAATCCCAACGAAGCCCTTTCTAATCTTACCCTCCCAAACCGCAAATCCCCTTCCTGTGTGTTTCCCACTTACCCAGGCAGAAATAAGCATTCTTCCTGTTTGCTTTCAATAGTCTCCAGTATATATCTCAAAAACAAAACAAAACGAAACACACATACATCAAATTATTCTGTAACCCTTTCTTTGGTGGTCTAATCTAGATAGCATGGACCAGAATGACAGCTCCTTGATAGAAAGGATTGTGTCTTAATTCATCACCTTGGTATTCTCAGGTTCTGTAATAGTATTTGGTCATTGTAGGACTTCAAAACAATAAGTGCTGATTAAACGGAAGGATGAATGAGTAATTATGTTGAAAAGAAATATGATCAAAGGGAAAAGGGAAAGGTGGCTGGCAACATTGCCCCCAAAATCCTTTCAGATCAGAGATCCTTAAGCTTTTATGGATCCAATCACCCAAACAGTTTTCTAAATATCAATATGATTTTGTGACGATGCTCTTCCCCATCAACCCTCGCTGTTTCCTTAGACTTCTGTGTGCTTGTTTCTTGCATTTACATTTCTGCCTCTGTCTCCTCCAGCACCAGGATGTCAGCATTGTTGGGCTGACAGTGACTTCCATCCTCCTTTTCCCTCCATAGTTGTGCAGTGTTCTTTGTTCCCCCGTCTTGGGATGTCAGATTGGGAAGAAAGCATCTTTTGAAACTGATTTCCAAATTGCTCAGGTAATGTACCTTTTTTTGTGTGAAGTTCCTTTTAAGCAAAGATGCTGTTGCGATTAATGTAAGCCAATCTTAATTCTGTTTATTGGATGAATGTGTATCTGCCTACTGGCTAATTAATCATCACCCTAGCCTTTTCACCAACTTCCTCTTCCTCCTCTCTCATTCCTGTTCCCTCCCTTCCCTCAAGCTTCCTTTAACTTTAGGAAAGACAGGTTTCATTCTACCTTAATTTATTCCTGATCACTGATTTTCAATGTTGATTTAGATTAGAAATAAAACAGAGAAATGGTGTGTAGATTTTGGTATCTTGACATGGGAAATCTGTAGAAGAGGAGGACTGCTTCAACGCTTTGATCTTAGAAGAAACAGAGTGAAAACACCTTGTGTCCTTTATTAGAAAAATGCTAAGAAAGTTGACTCACCCCGGAGGGATCTTAGCAGTCATTTAAACACACCCAGTAGCTTGAATTCTCTCTTTAAAAGCTTTCAAGCAGAATCACACAACAACTTCATCATACATGAGATCCACATTTGTACTTAGCTGGTGTACTGCTGTGATTTAGAATTATAGAACATTAAATTTGCTACAGTCCTTTCATTTTTACAGGTGAGGAAACCCAGGCTCAGGATGGAGTGGCTTATTTAAGGTTACACAGACAATTAGTGCCAAATCCGTGTTTAGTGCTTCTCTTTTAGCAATCTAAAGTTTGGATTTTTTTTTTCCAGTCAGTGTCCATGGAGAAAAAATTACCACCTTTCAAATCACTTCTTATTTGTTTCAAGTTTGTCTCTACAAAGCACCTGAAAGAATACGATATGCAACTGGGGATATGGCACATTCTCATAGCACTAACTGACATAAATTTGACTTTCAGCTTATCTCCTGGCCCCTAGTTGAAAGTAGGACATTGAGAAAATTGGGTGCACCAGGCAGGTACACTTGGAGATCAGAGGTAAGTAATGAAGTAAGGAAATGGCTGGAACGACATCTCTGAATCTGTTTTGCATGTACCCATAATCTGTAAGATGCTAATTATGGGCAAAAAAAGATAATCATGGTAAAAATTCAATTGCAAAATACTGCAATAAACACAGTTAAGTGAGACTTTTAACTTTTACTCTGCAAAATAGTCTGTCAAGAGAATGAAAAGACAAGCTACAGACAGCAAGAAAATATTGGCAAAACACATAGTTGACAAAAAGACTAATCTAAAGATCTCCCAAAAGAATACAACTGGAAAATGGGCAAAAGACATGAAAAGACATTTCATCAAGCAGAATATGCAGATGGCAAATAAACATGAAAAGATGTTCAACAATATTAATCATTAAGGAAATAAAAACTCCACAATGAGATACCAATGTATACCCACTAAAATGGCTACAATCAAACAGACAGACAATATCAAGTGTTGACAAGGATGTGGCAAAACTAGATCTCTCATACATTGCTGATGGGAATGCAAAATGGTACAGCTACTCTGGAAAATAATTGGGAAGTTTCTTAGAAAAATAAATATATACCTAATGTACAACCCAGCCATCACATCCCTGGGGGTTCATCCCAGAGAAATGAAAATGTATGTCCACACAAAAATGTATATGAATTTTCAGGCTTTATTTGTAATAGACAAAAACTGTAAATAATTCAAATATCTTTCCATGGGTGAATGTTTCAATAAACTGTGGTATACACATAGTGGGAAAATGAATGAACAACTGAAATATGGAGCAATTTGAATGAATTTCAAGGGAATTACCCTGAATAATAATTTTTTAAAAAGCTAATCTCAAAAGGCTACATAGTGTATGATTCCATTTAAATAAGATTCTCAAAATGACCAAATTATAGAGTTGGGGAACATGTTAGTGGTTGCTGGAGGCTAAGGAGGGAGATGGGTGTAACTATAAAGGAATAGCTGGAAATCTAGGCTGGGAGCTCCCAAATCACATTTGGGAGCCATCAGCATACAGGTGGCACCTAAAGCCAGGAGATTATGAGATCACTTTGGACAAAGTGAAGATGGAAAAGATGAGAAGTCCAAGGATCAAGTCCAAAGCCCTGATATATTTAAGAATTCCTGAGAAAAGGAGGGACCAGCAAAAGAAACTTAAGGTGTGACCAGAGCATGTTAGACTGATGGGGTTACAGGGTGACTATTTTTTTCCCTTTTTTATATTTTCCTCATCATAGTTTTATTACTTAAAAGATGAAAAAAGTGTGAGTAAAACTTTTTTGATATGTTTCTAAACTCCTTAGAGACTGGAGAAGGTCTATTGCTTGTTCAGGGATCCTTACATGGACTCCATCTCCACTGAGAAACCGACCTTTATCCTCAAAGACCTTGTTAACTCAAGGAATATATTGGCTCAGGTGTTTAATAAGCATGACAAGAAGATTGAGTTCCTCAGATATATGTTATGTTGTCTTAAATAAATGTAACTTGAGGGGAAAAAAACTGAATTGTATCACTAGACATCTTTCACGGTTGAACTTTTTCTCGTCTAGATTCTAAACTTCATAAGTTGAGGGATGTAGTACCTACCAAGTTCTGTGCAGTGTCTTTCACTTAGTAAGGTTCCATTACGCTTGAAACATTTAGGTTTGTTAAAATCCCAGAAACACCTTCAATCTTATATTTATGAAAAACTCCCTTGCTAATGACTAAGCCCTGGGCAGAACTTGTCTATAATTTTACATGTCCAGATTTTTTTCCCTTTTATGGATGGAGTTTTATAGATCATAAATTCAAATGCTCGGAGAACCTTAGAAGTTATTTATTCTCTCCCTCTCTACCAATCCTCTTGTGTTGAGTTACAGACTCAACAGAGCTCAGCTGAGATTGGCACTCTTCTAACACTAATAATATGTTTTATTTTTTCAGGATCTTTCTGCCAAGAGCTTAAAAGTAGTGGGGTGAGCAGGGAAAGGCATTTCCTCTCCAAAGACTGAATCTTGAAAGTCCATCCTTGCATCAGCCACAGGAAGGCTCTCTCCAGTCCCACCACACCTGACTTTAGCAGCTTTTCTTTAACAGGGGCTTAGGTAAGCTGGGTTCTTTTGTAGCTGTGCAATGAACTCACTGTGTGACTTCAGACAAACCATTTAATCTTGATCCTACAACGACTCACCCTCACTGCCTCTTAAGTTTGCTGTGCGAATACATCAGACACTATTCATGATAGGTTCAAGATATGTAGACGGTTAAAGGTCATTGACCTAAGTATAGATAATCTTTACATATTTGTCTTCAGATTTCTTTTTTTCTTTTCATTCAATTTATGGTAATTTCATGACAATAGTGAGTGTTCCCAGAAGATTAAATCCACAGTTTGTGTCTCTAGTCATGCTTTGTTCTAGATGATCAGCAGTCAGCTCTGCACCTCCACACCTTAAGCCATGTTTGCAGAAAGATGTAGGACTCAGCTAGAGAACCCAATGGACATCTCTGGAGCCTGGTGTCCTGGGTCAGCGGAGCTCTATAAGGCAGTGTTAAATTAAATGCATAAGCTGATTTCTTCCAGGCTCAAGCCCATATCACTCTGGGAACTGTGGCAACATCATGTCTACTGATTGGAATACCATGGACTGAGCCAGGGGGAGCTGAGAGAAGGCAGCAGAAGATAAATATAATGAGGAGATTAATCACTAGCACTTACTAGTGATTCATGACATTAACTCATTTAACCTTCAGGACAAACTTGCACACCCATTACTATCATTCCCCATTTTATAGAAGTGGAAACTGAGACACAGAAAGAGTGGGTGACTTTCTCAAGGAAATATTGAAGGTTTGGTAGAAAGTCAGAGGCATGATTTAATCTTCTGAAAAGAAGACTTTCCTCCATGCTGTGAAAAACTTAAATTAGAAGAATGATGGTAAACATACTAAGAGGATTATTACCGTAGTACAGTAGAGAAGTGAAGGCTCAACCTGAAAGTTTCCAGAAGGAGGAACTGATTCTTCCTTTCTTGTATTTCCATAGAAGAGACACTTTACTCTCCATAGAGCAGATTATTGGAGTGGATACTTCCTGTCTCTTTCCACTCATTTTTCTTCCAGTGCAGAGAGCAGGTGTAGATTATTTGAAATTTGAGAGCTTCATGCCCAGTGGGGTAACTTAACTTGCAGTATGTTTATGAAATCAAATTGCAATGTGATAACTATCTTCATTCTCCTTCACTCTTGTATTTTTGGCCCCTTGTTTTACAAGAGGAGACAGGGCTGTCTCAACTCTCCCTCCCATCGTGAAGCAAACAGGGGCAGATGTTCCTCTGTTTGTTGAAGATGGACCATTTTCCAGTTTCTTCTTTGCCATTTGAATGAGTTAGTCAAACCCTAGTCTTCCTACTAATGCCAATGCCATATTTAGGTTGAAGTGGTCCAAGTTGGCTTAAGATCCTAGCCACAATTACAAATCCAACTTACCAAAAACTCTGCATTTTGTGCTTTACTGAACAGCCATCAATAGAGATGATTCTTTCCACCTTATGTATCTATCTTCCTGCTATAATCCTGAGGAGAGGAAAGGTTATTGGCATGGAGATTCCAAGAAGAGCACCAGTGGAGACAGAAATAAAAGATTTGTATTTCCCAAGCTGTGTGGTGTTTTTTTTTTTTTCCTTCTCTTTTTCCTGGAAATGCTTTTCCCTAATTTTTTGAGTAAGCTCTGCTTCCCTGCTGGAGCAGTGCCAGAACAGGTTTTGTAAATAAGGATTAGGGATGGCTCACTTTAAAACAAGAATAATGCTGTTCCCCGTCCCCTCTTAGGTTCATAGTAGGACATTATAGAGCCTGGTGAGTTTTCTGTCATCTCATCTTGAATGGCAATGAAAACTCCATCTGAGTCCTTAGGACACCCTAATGGAGCGTCAGAAGTCATTAAACTAAAAGAGTAGAGATAAACAACAGGAGTCTTTGATCCCTGGGATAGTAATCAGTTCATTAAGAAATTAGAGGGTAAGGTCCGGTAACACGCTGTAACCATATTAAAGCCAAGGCAGATGTGACTTTGTGTGTTTTGGGGGCCTGATGGCCTAACCCAGATCTAATAAAGAAGGTGATTTTTATCTCTGCTCCTACTAACATTGTCACTCTCTGTACTGAGGGAGAAAATATGGGTGGGAGGAAAGTGAGATCCGCAAAGCTGAGCACCAGAATTTGTCCTGCACACAAATCTGGGAGTGCCCTTAGGGACACACCTATTGTATTTAATGTCTCTTTTCATTCTGTTTCTTCGTTTTCATAAAATTATAGAATTTCAGAGATTCAACTCCTTTTTCCATGAAGGAAACAGAAGCATAGCCCAGAGACATGATATGCTGAATGTCCCAGAGCAACTTGGTGATGGAGTAGGGACAACTGAGAAAATGAATTGATTGAGAGAATAAACATTTGTTGATCCTGTACCATGGGCCAGCTTTGTGCTAGGCTCCAAGAGCAGGATTAAAAGATGAAAAAAATATTAGTTGTTGCCTGCCCCCCTCAGGAGCAATAATGTGTTGGTGGTGTTGTAAAGGAACTGTGTGTAATATACAATGTGATCACTCAGGAAGGAGTGGCCATTTTTCCAGGAAAGGAGATACACAGACACACACACACACACACACAAACTTCATTCCAGTTGCAATATGCAATATAATTTCCATAACCAAAGAGGCGTATGGATGATTTGAAATGTTATGGTAGAGTGACATGCAATTTAATTGAGTAGGTTTGCATGACAGTCAAACTGAATAGTTACTGATTACATACTGAATTGATCTGGGATAGAAATTCACCCGTGTCTCAGACAGTATGGTTAGAAAGGCATGGCCTAAGAATGGCACCATATTGCAGGGCTGGGAAGAGCCCTGAAGCCACCAATTCACTTGATTAGAGCAAAACACATTTTCCCCATCAAAATTTCTCTTTAAATTATCCAGATAACTAGTGCTTCAGTTTCCAGTGTTTGGAAAGTTTATCACTGCAATAAATCCCAGAAGAATAAGCAGGTGTTACTAGACTCATTGTAGAGTAAATTGCTCACAGAGACAAGTGGGTTTGATAACAATGTCTCACCTTGAGAAGAGCTGTTCTTCCTGTAGATTAGAGTTGTCATTAAGTGCTTAGGTCCTCATTCTCACTAATGGCTCTTTTGCTTTTAGTTGCAGGCCAGATTGAGGACATCATTTGAATGCATTATCTGGAGAAGGTAATCACTACACCTCCACCATACAGAACACAGACATTGTTTAAGCTGTTGTTTATTGAACACATGCAGTGGGTCTGGTGCCGTTTTAAGTGCTTTACACATATGGGCATAGTGAGTGCTCACAGCACCCCCTTTGAAATTGATATTATTATACTCACTTTTACAGATGAGAAATCAGAGTTTCTAAGAGGTGAAATGATGTGCTTAAACTCTCACTGGAAGCTAACGGTAAAGGCTAGAATTTGACTTTGCATTCTCAATACTGATGCAATAAACATTATACCAAACATTTTAGGAGATGCAACAATATAAAAGTTGTGGTCCCTGATTTCTAGGATTTTACAATCCTTGTGAAATCAAAGTGATATCAGTGCTAACTTGTTAGAAGCAAAGAGTCTTATTGTCATATTTAAAAAGAAGAAGAGGCAATTGGGAAGGCTCCTTGGAAGAGATGGGAGCTTTGTGAAACTTCAGAAGAATTATTCCTCCAAGTTACCAGGGGGTGAAAGAGAATTCTGGGCAAGACTGCTTGAGCAAGTGTATAGGATATGCTTGGGAGTCAATAGGCAGATGAGTGAGTAGAGCGAATGGTACACGAGAAACTATCAGAGAGAACAAGGTGGGTAGAGGTGGGTGAAAAGAGCAACACCATAGATTATTCCCCACCCCCAAATATTGGAAGACTTTTAAAGCTACAAAATTTCTGATGTATTTCAGGAATTTTTAGTGGATAAAATTTTTTTCGTTGTTGCTATTTTGAGGAAATCTATTCAGCAGAGTATATCCAATAATATCGTCTAAGATTTTATTTCTCAGACCATCTCTCCCCAGCACTCTCTCACCCCCATCTATCTAGATAATAGGGGAGTCAGGGCGAAGGAAGTGAATCCAAGATGCTCTATGGGGCATGAGAACAAGGCGATAGTCGGGAGGCAGAGTGCTAGATGTCAACTCTGGAACCAGGGCCCTTCCAGGGCCAGCGGAGCCTGGGACAGTGCTTTCTTCCACGTCCAGGTCATTGGACTTGTTATAGATGAGTTGTTATACTGAGAGCCTTCTGATTAATTAAACCCCCTGGTTGATTCTCCATTGTGTTGAGTCCTGAGATTCTTCGGTCTTCAGTTTTGCTCTCAATGGATTACTGTTCTCAGTGAAGAGGTTTTCTTGCTTACTCTCTGTGTGGCACAAGCATGCAGTAAGTCAACAACCAGAGTTGAGGACAAATTACACCCCTCATCTTCTCTGTTTATAATTTGCTTCATTTTCCACTCATTGTAAATGTTATTGTGTCTGCTAATTTTTTGAAAATTCTGTTTTTTTTTTTAAGTTTAAAAAAATCACTCGTAACCTTTGTAGCTTGCTTTCTCCATGAGTCATAGAAGCTGTTGCAGGATAAACTTGAAGGAGTTGGGGGACAATATGTTGGATAAACTTTGCTGTGTTACGTGCTTTGAAGATCATCCCTGAGCAAGAGCAGCAGAATGAATTAGCAGGTACACAGCGAATCTGCGAGTGAGTTGGAAAGTATTTACTCACTGAAGTCATTTCTGGGAATGGAACTTGGAACAGACTCTGGAGGGTTCTGTGTTCTGTGTATGGATCTTATTTTGTTAAAACTGCAAAACCATTGTCATGGAGAGCATGGGGTTTAATCTTCCTGACTGTAGACCTCAAGCTGCTTCTGGTAAATGTTTTTACCACTTACGTACTGACTTGGGATGGGCCTCAGGTTGGTAAACATAGTGAAAATGGTAACAGCAGTGAGGTTAGCTCCCAGCTAGTGTATACTTATTATAGGCCAGAACGGTGTTAGATCCTTCACATACATTCTCATATTTATTGCTTAATAAAACTGAAAAGTAAGTATCTTTAGCTCCATTTTATATTTGAGAGTTAAAGTATCTTAAGGAAGGGGATACAGTTATACTGTCAGGCTTTTGTCTGATTCTAAGACCCATGTCCTTCACCATTGTAATATTCTCTCTCTCAGATTTGCTATTCTCTGCCCGACTAATGGGTGTGTGTATGTGTGTGTGTGTGTGTAGATGTCTCCTCCTATATATAAAGACACTCATACAAATGTATCTCTGCTTTCTTATTTTTTAAATTTTTTAAAATTTAAATCTTCTAAAAAAATTTGGGGTGGAGGTAATTTGGTTTATTTATCTGTTCTTTTTAATGGAGGTACTGGGGATTGAACCGAGGACCTTGTGCATGCTAAACACACACTTTACCACTGAGCTATCCCCTCCCCCTGTATCTCTAGTCTCTTGAACATAGATTATTTGGTAGCACATAGTAGAACTATCACCACTCATCGTGATCTGCAGCTAACTGCAGAGACAGCCTTTCTTCTCTCCTTCCCACAGTCCAACCAACACACTTTAATGGAGGTAATTTTTTATTACACAGATGTGACCACATCACCACTGCTGTCAGGAAACTTTGGCAGTTTCCTATGGAAAATGTGATAAAGCCTTAACTCCTCAGCCCTCTTTATCAACTTCCCTTCTGCTTAATTTTTCAACCTCATATCTCATTACCTCTTCCTTCCAATTCCAGGTTCTTATCAGAGTAGGCTACCGCCATCCCACCAATATGCTTGCCTGTGCACCTTATTTCTTGATAATATCCCTCTTGCCTGAAATTCTTCATCTGTCCTAAGTCTTAAACATCTTTTAAGACTCAAGTGAAACATTTAAAATGGAGCCTGTCTTTGCATTTTCTGAGTGTGCACTAATTTGATTATGGTGTGCTTCAAAGTTTGCCTACGAGTATAATACTCACTCGTGTATATCTCTGCCTTATCTCACAACTCCCTTCCACCCGTGTGCCTTTTAAGCATAGGAACAATATCTGGCTCATTTTGTATTCATAATGTCTTGCTTGATGCTTAGCACATGCTCGGAAAATGTCTGTTGAGTTGAATCAGATATTCGCTAATGTTGCCCATGACTATACTTCATTTTAACATTGCACGGAATGTATTTATGCCATAAGATAACCAAAATGCTCATTTTTTTCTGATGTATTCAAACAATATGCCATGTTTGATCTACTATCTGTCTTCATGGAGCCACTAACTTAGACATTTAGGTCAAAACTGTAATTGAACTCACCTATAAAGCAGGAGTCAAGCATTTTAAGGACAAGTTTTTGTTTTTCAAGAAGGATCTTTCTGCATAATGGAGAAATTCAATTCAATGTCCCACTTCCTTGGTCCCAGAGGTCCCTATGAAATGTGAAGTAGCATGAGGTGTTGGAGATCAGTGTGTTAGAAATAATTCATCTAGTTTAGTCTGTAGCATACAATGCTTAATAAAAGCACTGTTCTTACGTAGACATTTATTTTCTTAATAATGATTAATTGTATCCCCAGAAGGTCAACTAAAGTTCTCCGTTAATTATAGCCACTGGCCAATCCTCCATCTCCAATGAAATATTGGATCCTTTTCTATTTCAAATATTTTAATGGGGAAGGGTATTGCTCAAGTGACAGAGCACATGCTCAGCACCCAAGAGGTCCGGGGTTCAATCCCCAGTGCCTCCTCCAAGCGGAAATCAATGAAGAAACCTAATTACCTCCCCTTCATGTAAAAAAAAAAAAGAACCAAATACTTTAAACTTATTTTTATACATGAATGTCTACTCGTGTCAGTGTTTTCTATCTTAAATTGAACATCTAAGAATTGAATGGCCACATTAAAACCTGGTCAGCCTGATCATTTTATTCACTTTCATTTAACAAATGAATTGGATCAACAACTTAGTGGTCTGATTCTAGCCACAAACTGAATTAGAATTCAAATAATGAGAGGAGACGTAGCCCATGGTCTTGAGCTGCATATGTTTCACCCATGCCTGCCTGGAAGGACACAGTAAAGTAGCAAAACTATAGTCTGAAACATGGGTTGGAGGAATACATTTATTATAAGAAAACAATTTAAACCCAGGTGCTGCAGGCAAGGGGAGCCCTCATAGAGACAAGATGCAGTCTTACTGGAAAAGATTTCAGAGCAATGAGGAAAAGTCTCCTGGAGATGTTTAGACCAGAAGACAATGCATTTCTGAGTGCCTATTCTGTGCCAGACATTGTTTTAAGTACTTGGAATATAGTGATGAGCAGCAACAACAAAAATCCCCACCATCATTAAACTTACATTCTAGTATGAAAAGAAAACAGGTGAACAAATTAACAAGTAATACAACAGGAGGCATTATAGAAGAAAAATAAAGTCATATCGTGTCAGGAGAAGTTGAGGAACAGACATAATTTCTGAAAGAGTAATCAGGAATCTCTCAACTGATGACAGGTTAGCAGAAACCTGAAGGAAGCAAGAATGAAAACCATGAAGATATTTTGGGAAGAGTGTTCCAGGCAAAGAGAAGAGCAAGTGCAAAGGCTGGGTGAGTGTATTTGGTGAGTCTGAGCTGGGATTAAAGTGGGAGGATATGAGATCAGAGAGGAAGCCAGAAGAAAGATCGTGTCAGACAGGCACTGATTCTTTTTTAATTTAGGTAAAGTTTATATACAGTGAAATGCTCACATCTTAGGTAGAGAATTAGATACATTTTGATTATATTCACCCATGTAACCTCATCTCAGAAACAATATAGAATGTTTCCATTATCCCTAAAATTTCCTTCATGCCCACTTCCAGCCAGTCTCCATCCTGCCCCCTGAAGCATACAGTCTGATTTTTTTCTACCGTGGCTTAATTTCACCTGTTCTAAAACTTCATCTGAATGGAATCATAGCGTGAGCATGTGTTCTTTTGGTAAGGCTTTGTTTCCCCAATATGTGTTTGAAATTTATCCGTGTTCTTGCATGTATCATTAGTCTATTCTTTTTACTTCTAAATAATTAGCATTCCAAAGTGTGAACATACAACAGTTATTTATCTACTTTCATTAATATTGTTTTTGAATTATTTCCAGTTTCTGTGTTATGACATATAAGTCATTGTGTTGACATGTCTTTTCATTACTCTTGGGTAAATATTTAGAAGTGGAATTTCTGGGTCACAAGGTAAGTGTATTTTTGACTTTAAATGGAACAAAACAGCTAGACAGTTTTCTAAAGTAATTGTACCCTTCTTTGTTTCCTTCAGCAACACATCAGAGTTCTCTCCATACTCTCCAACATTTGGAGTTGTCAGCCTTTCATCTTTTTAGGCATTCTAGTGGATGTATAGAACTCTCATTAGAGTTTTAATGTGCATTTTTCTGACACTTACTGATGTTGAATATTTTTCATGTGCTCATTGGCCATTTTTATATCTTTCTTTGTAGAGAGTCTATCCAAGTAAGTTGCCAAATTATATTATTAGTTTGTAGGAAGTCTTTATATATTCTGCATACAAGAAGGTAAGGACTTTCAATTTTATTGCTTTCTTAATGTGAAGGGAAGCCATGGGAAGGTTTTGAGCACGGAATAATGCAAAACCAGGGGAATCGTTCTATGATTTTGCATTGCACAACTTCAGGGGCTGCCATTCCCACTTGTAGCCATCATAGATATGTATATTTGTTACAGTTTTCCATCAGATGTCAGTAAACATCTTCAGGAAGAGACAGCTTTTTAAAACTCACTCAAAAACACTATTTGAGTTAGTAGTGGATCACTGCCATGAACTTTTACTAGGATTATTCTGCATTTTGTGTGAAAACTGGAGTGCCACAAGGCAAGGTTAAGAAGTTTTCCAAGCAGAAGTTTGAAATGATCACTTCTTTTAAGCTGCATGAGGTAGGAGAGAGAAAGACAATGTAAAGTAGTAACAGTTTCCAAACAGAATTCAGAGGAGACATGGACCCAGGATATATTGGGGTAGACAATGAAACTTTTCCGCCTTTCCAGGCTCTTTAACTAGTGTAAGTTTCTCAAAGTAAGAAGTGGCCCCAGAATATAGATAAAATCAAGGGCAAGACTGTAAAACCCTTTCTTAAAACGCTTTGAAAGATGTAAGATGATACTCACTCGACTCTCTTAGCTAAGCCAAAGAGAGGCTAAGAATCACAAAGGCATCGTCTTGACTTCCTGCTCCAAGTAGGGGGCAGCCTGTCTTAAAAGGGATGGTGGGAATGGATTGTATCTTTTGGAATGAACTATAACCTGATACATAGAAAGCCTACAACATTTTTAAGGAAGTGCTGCTATGAGATTATACTAAGAAGGGTCAAAGATGATGGAAAATGAAACAGATCTCTGAGACCTTGACTTTCTACAGGCTGGAAGTATGCTGAAAAAACTACTCAGCTACAAACACAGCCATTCCTTACAAAAAAAGAAAGATATCTAGATGGTAGTATCAATTCCCAGAGAGAAAGACCAAGAGATGAGAAGAATGGGTTAAGGAACTCTTCTCAGGGATTAGCACTGGGCCCTAATCAAGGAACATTCTCTACTGTTGTAGAAGGTGGAATTAACAGGTACATATTTGGGGGTGAGAATTGCCACGGACCAGTAGTTCCATGAGTTTCTTGTCCTTTGTCTCTCTTTATGAGAGTATCTATGGTCAGTATCCTACTGCTATTCAACGTTCTATCTTGTATGTGTGGGAGGAGAGAAGGTCATTGTAGTTCACAGGTCCCTGTATGAAAAGGAGCAGTACTGGAGGAGCTGCACTTGACAGACTACAACCAAGGTGCTTCATCGAGATCTGTACCAGATTTATGTGAGGAGATCATGGACATTAAGCCTGATGCTCTGATTGGATGAAATTTTGGGATATGAAAAAGGAGTCACTATAATTTGCATGTGGGAGGAATATGAATTATTCTGGCCTTCGTTGACTGTGGTAGACTATTTGCAAAGCTAGCTGCAATGACTCCTTATATTCTGCATGTCCCTTTACCCTTTCTATTCAGAAGCAGAGTCACTCCCCTCTCTTGAATCTGGAATGGCCCTTGCCAGTGGTGATTTGCTTTGTTTGACAAAACGTGGCAGGAGTGATGGTGTGTAACTTCTGAGGCCTGGCAGAATACCAGAAAGTGATATTATGCAACTTCCACCTTTAATCTTTTGAAACTCTTCTGAGACTTCCCAGGAAGAAAGAAAACACGGAGGAAAAGGCTGAGCCATCAGCCAGCACCAACTATCATACTTAGGAGTGAAGCTGTCTTGGGACTCCCAGCTCAGCCTGGACAAAAGTCAGACAATTCACAGAAATTTGCAAAATAATATATTGTTATTATTTTAAACCTCTAAGTTTTTGTGTGCTTTATTACAAAGCAATAGATAGCTAAAGCAGAAATCGAGTCTGTTAACAAAAATTTTCTACCAAAGAAAACCCCTGGCTCCGATGGCTTCATGAGTGAATTCTGTAGTATTTATGAAAGAAATAAAGCCATTCTACACAAATACTTCCTAAAATAAAGAAGGAAGACCATACTTCACATCTCGTTTTTTGATGTCAGCAAAATTGTGATGTAAATAACAAAGTATATTTATTACAAGTTTTAGGCCAATATTCCTCATGAACATACATGCAAATATGCCTAGGAAATATTGGAAAATTGAGTCAAGCAATATATGAGACAAAAAAATATATCAGTGCCAAGTCAGTTTAATCTCAGAAATGCAAGATTGGTCTAAAAACAATCAAACAATAATTTGCTACCTAAATAAAACAAAAGTAGAAAATATGGTCATCTCAGTAGATGCATTAGAATTGAACATTTGATGCTGATTTATAATTAAGAAATACTCAGAAAAATACTAACAGAAAAGAACTTCCTCTGATAAAGAACATCCGTTAAAATCCTACACTGAACAGACAGAATGTTTTTTCCTTAGGATCCAAAATAAAGCAGGGATATTTCTTAGCTCTTCTATTCATCATTGTAGTTCAGGTCCTAGCAAGTAGTAAGTTAAGAAATATAAATAAAAGTGTTGGTGTTGGAAATGAATAAATATCTATTAATTGATTTAAATATGTATTTTAAAATAACATGATTGTTCACGTAGAAATTTCCAGGGACTCCTTCCCCCCACTGAGGCAAAGAAATAGCCTACTCACGAATCAGCAATAGATGGCAAAGCTATTTGGTGAAATTTTAATTAGGAATACGATACTTACACAATTCCCAAATATCTCCCCACATGTCACTTGTCAGTTACAAAGAGAAGCAATGGTTAAACTTAACTATGGAAATACCTCACAGACATCATTTTAATCAAGCAATCAAAGTTAGTGTCACCAATAATGGGACACACAATGGTACAAAGTTACAGCCACCAATCTTGTGCCTCTTGATACGATGCGCTAAAAAGAACAAAACATCACTCACAGTATTCTTGTCTAAGATGTACAACCTGAATCTAATCATGAAGAAATAGTAAAACAAGCAAACAAACAAACAAAAAAACAAATTGAGGGACATTCTAAAAACTGACCTTCACTCTCCAAAAATATCAAAGTCCTAAAAGGCAAAAGAACTAAAGAGTCCAGCCAACTAAAAAAAAAAAAAGAAAAAATTAGAGATTTTGGATTGGATCCTGAATTAGAAGGAAAAAATTATATAGAGGACATAAAATTTGAATATAGACCATATAATAAATGATAATATTATATTGGTACTAAGTCTTCTGAATTTGATCATGTACAGTGGTTTTAGAAGAGAATGCCCTGTTTTGGGGAAATGCATATTGAATTACTAGGAAATAAGGGGCTATTGTATTTGCAATGTTCTCTCAAATGATTTAGAAAAAAAATGGATGTTTCTGTATGCTTGTGCATAGAACAAGGATATGAAGAAGTGCTTTATTGTTCTTACAATTCTTACAGAGCTTTCAAACAACTTCAAAATAAAAAGTGTTTTTGAATAGTGGTAGAAACAATGATAAACAGGATAATGCATGCCCCGCCTACTGCATTCAAATCTAGTTTTAAAGACTCCTAAGGACCAGAAAACCAAAACAAAGAAACAAAAATCCATATCAGCAGGTCAGTTCGACCTTATGGGTCACCGGATTACGACTCTTGAACTAATTTTCTCTGCGTTTCAACCGCTCTGATTTTGCCCTTCAATACGACAAACACGTCTTTTAAGTTATGTCGACTACTGGAGCTGTGAAAGCGTTCTTCTGCACGTGGAGCAGTAGCGAGGGGAGGTGGACATTCTGATTTTCTCTAAATACTTTGTCACCAATTTCAACACCGAAGAGAAGAACTTTTCCATTTAGCCTTTGTTTGATTTTACCATTTGTTTGTTCCCAGTGCCTAAGTTAACAGAGCCTTAATAAGCATAAACAGCCCTAAGAACTCAAGGGTGAGGACGTGGGTAAAAGGAAACAGCACCAAATAAGTTCAGTTTATTCTTCATCATACAAAACACATTCCTTTAGACTTACTGTAGCCTTGTGCATACCATTGGACTAAAAATAGACCCAATGTTTATTCCTAGAACATTGTTTGCTTTACTATTGTTAAATTCTCCAGGCAAAGTGGTTTTTCCCAAGAGATTACATTTGGAGATCACGAAGCTGAGGTTCTCTGTCCCTTCATCCCAGAAGTCATCCTTCCCAGGCCCTCATAATACGAACACGCGCTCTGTCTCTTATTTGTACACGCACGTTAGAAGGGCCACTCTCACGTCCATGCCTCTGTCTCCTCGCCTGTAAAATGAGAAAAAATAATCATAACCACCCTAGTTACCGCAGATCTAATTATGTAAGCATACTTCTTAAGGGCATCTTACACGTTTTAGAACACTGTGCTCATGGACAGGATTATATGGTTGTCAGGGACCCCCACGAGGTAAATTTCTTCAGTATTACTTGTTATCATTTAATATTAGAAAGAGTGAGAAGGATGTCAGAAAGATTTCTCTAAATGATCTCTTTATGCTTTGGGCCTCTCCTGGTCAGTCTCAGCTCCTGACTGCCTGCAGTTCCTCCCACCCACCCTACCATGCTGCGGTGGCCAGAAAATGTTTCCTGACTTGATTTGCCAGTGACACACGTGTCAATAACTTGAACATACTCCATATAAAGTGCAGAGCTGCCATCTCATAGTCAATAATAGGAAAAACGATTATAAACACGGTTGACTGTCTTGTGATGTGTGAGTCTGTATTGATTTTTCCGGATGGCAGCCTCATGAACAGATCTTGTTAGGACTCTTACGTGACACGGAGAAACCTGTCTAGAAATAACCAAACAATCAGAACACTGTTTTAAAGGGAGTCCCTTCTAACTAGTCCATATATTGTGCATTTCTTTTTATGTAAACCCAATATACTATGAGCTCCTGCAGGTCAACGATAAGGGCTTATAAGTGTTTTATCCTTTACAGACAGAATTAATGGTGAACATAATTTAGTGACAATGTAGTGTCACTGAACCAACTGTCATCAGAGCCTGAACCTTAGACAGCTTTTAAAGTAGGATAAAGAGGCTCTCATTGACAGCCATGTACTGCTGATGTGGGTGGAGTCAACTGTGAGCTAAATACTTAGCCTGTGTGGGAGGAAAACCATTAAAACCTTGGTATTTTAGACTTAGAGACAAAATAACAATAGCTCCTGTTGTTACTATTGGTATTAACATTTTAAATTTTGGGGAGGAGGGTATAGGTCAAGTGGGAACACATGCTTAACATGCACAAGGTCCCGGGTTCAATCCCCAGTACCTCCTCTAAAAATACGATAAATAGGTAAAATAAATAAATTACCTCCCTTCCCCCTGGGGAAAAAAAAAAAAAAAAAGCATTGTAGCTTTTATTTATTTATTTATTTTTTGACCTGACAGGAGAATAAAGAGAAAGGACACCAATGTTTATTGCATATGTTGCGTTTCATGGTCTCTCAAAGTTCACAGCAATCCTTTGAGGTAGGAAGAAAAGTCCTGGTTATGTTCGTTTTACCCCTAAATATGAACATCTCATGTTTCAGTGCTCTTAACTGAGAAGTTCAAAAGCCTTTGTAAGCATGAATTCTCTGTTAAGCATGAAATAGCAGTGAATTAGACGGGAGTATCATGACCTTATTTTCCAGAGGAATAAATTCAGGAACAAAGAGGTGAAGAGGCTTGCTTCCAACCAGCCAGTAATTAGATTTAAAGCCCAGGTTTATAATATGCCATTTGCTCATCTAATTATTAATTTGATGCATGCTTGTTAAGGACCTACCGTGAGCCAGGTATCTGGGAGAGGCTGGGAATTCAGCAATGTGACAGAGATGGAAATCCCTGCCCTTAGGCAACTCAGATCTTAGTGGGAGGAATCAGACAATAAATCGGGAAGAGAGTAAGGACAGAATGTCTGTGTATGTGTGTAACTGTACTCTGACCTAGCTTTTAACACAACGTGACCACTCTGGTGGCTGCATTAAGCAGATTGAAAGGGTCACAAGAAGTATGTAGAAATGGACAGCATTTAGAAGGCTAAATCATTAATTCACGTGAGAGATGATGGTGGCTTGGTGCAGGCTGCTAGCAGTGGAGAGACTGACAGTGGTGGGCTCTGGTTTTCACTTAGGACTGTCACTCCTGCTAGCTTGTCACTCACATCACTTAAATAAATGACCAACATTTATAATGATGATTTTTAAGAAAAACTAAAGTGGATGAGGAGGGCGAAACAACTTTCGGCCTTGAAGGGCAGTTACGAGTAAGCAAGCAGTTTATTTAGTTCTGTCTCTTAGGAGAATTAAGCACGGATAACAATAAAACCCGATTTTCAGCCGGACACGACAGCAATCATCCTCACAGACTCACATGTCACATAAAACTCAGCACCGTTTGTAATCATTTTTCTATTGTTGATCAGAAGAGAGTAATTCTGCAGTTTAGCTGTTCTTTGTACACATGATTGGCTTTTGTTTCACCAAGAGTCAAGTCACAGAACATTCTGTGGCCAACACGTTGAGCATGTTTAGTGGCGGCGGGGGGGGGGGGAGGAGGCACATCTCAGAAACCACAGTGGATCCCTGAGGCAGGCTTGCTCCTCAGAGGTCTTGTTCTGAGCCTTCAGTGCCTCTCCGTGGGGCATGACAGAATGGGAGCAAAAATGCAAATGGCATTTTAGCATTACTATGCAAGTGATTCAGACCACGTGGACACCCTGAACAGGTCCCAGGAACCCCAGGAATCCCTAGAAAACACTTTGAGAGCTTCTTCTTACACAACAAGGCAACTGAACAAACGTGCAAAAATGTGGACTCGTTTCGCAAACTTAATAAAGGAGACTGACACAAGAGTACACTGTA